ATGTAACCCAGGCTATCCTGTAGACCAGGCTGGCCTTAAACTCAGAGATCCACCTACACACTACATACAATCAAAAGCCTGAAGCAGTCAGAAGAGACATCATATCCCTTGGAACTACATGTGGGTGCTGGGAAGTGAACTCAGGCCCTGTGCAAGAACAAGTTCTCTTAACCACTGAGCTATCTCTCCATCCCCTCTTCACCGTAAAACTTTTAAAAACATGTATTGTGTCTGTGTACATGTGTGCACGCAGACACATGCCATGACATGTGTCTGGAAATCAAAGGAACTTGTTGGAGTTGGTTCTCTACTTCCACCACTAAGGTCCGAGGATCAAACTTAGGTTGTCAGATGTGAATGGCAAGCACCTTCCCCCACTGAGCCATCTTTCCAGACCCTCTACCCTGCTTTTTGTTTTTTAAATATTTATTTTTACTCTGTGTGTTTTGCCTACATGTATGTGTGTGCACCATGTGTGTGCCTGGTTCCCCTGGAGACCAGGAAAGGACATCAGCTCTGCTGGAACTGGAGTTACAGATAGCTGTGAGGTGTCTGTTGTGAATGCTAGGAATCCAATCTGGGTTCTCTGCAGAAGGAGCAAGCGGTCTCCAGCCCTGAGCCATCCCTTTAGCGCTCCACCGGATTTTTTGAGACAAGGTCTCTGCAAAACTAGAGTTCATTGATGTGGCTAGGCTGGCTGTTTGGTGAGGTCCAGGGATTACCCATCTATTCTCCTCAATGGTGGTTACCAGATGCACATCCCACCCCCACAGCTTTTACATGTCTTCTGGGGATCTGAACTCAGATCCTCATGGGTTTTGGGGGGTATTTTTGTTTTTGTTTGTTTGTTTGTTTTTCGAGACAGCATTTCTCTTTGTATAGCCCTGGCTGTCTTGAAGCTTGATTTGTAGACTAGACTGGCCTTGAACTCAGAGATCCACCTGTCTCTGTCTCCCAAGTACAGGAATTAAAGGCATGAGCCACCACCCAGCATCAGATCTTCATGTTTGCCTGGTAGGTGCTGTACTGATTTAGCCATCCCCACCACTCAAATAAATAAAAAATATTTTAGCCGGGCAGTGGATGCATATGTCTTTAATCTCAGCACTTGGGAGGCAAAGGCAGGCAGGCCAATTTGATCTACAGTGTGAATTCTAGGACAGCCAGGGCTATGCAGAGAAACCCTGTCTTGAAAAACAAACAAACAAAAAACAAACAAAAAATTTATCTGTATTGTTTTGCCTGCCTATGGATATCAGAAGAAGGTATTAGATGCCCTGCATTTCAAGTCACAGATGGTTGTGAACCACCATGTGGGTTCTAGGACTCAGAGCCAGATCCCCTGAAAGAGCAGACTAGTGCTCTTAACTTTTAACTATTAAGCCATCTTCCAGTCCCATATAAATAAAATTTTAAAAAGTATTATAACAGTTGGAATTTAGATTTCCTATACTGACACTTATAGAAAAGAGCACAGGAGTTTTCTGGCTTAAACTTCCATACATTGGGAGAGATGGCTCTGTTGCTGCAAAAAGACCCAGGTTCAGTTCGCAGAGTACACATGGCAGCTAACAAATGTATGTGACTCTAGTTCCAGGGGATCCAATGTCCTCTTCTGGCCTCTGTGGACACTGTACACATGTGGTTCATAGTTATACATTCAGCAAACACTCATATACATAAAAATAAGTAAAATCTTTAAAAAATTAAGATAAAAATGGGGACTGGTGCCAGGCAGTGGTGCACACACCTTTAATCCCAGCACTCAGGAGACAGAGGCGGGTGGATCTCTGTGAGTTCGAGGCCAGCCTTGTCTACGGAGCGAGTTCCAGGACAGCCTCTCAAAACAAGAGGACTGAGACGGGAGGAATAGAGGAGGGCAAGAAAGGAGATGCCTTGATAGAGGGAGACAGTACAGGTATGGAGAGAGGTCTGGCACAGCGGAAATGTTAGGGGATCCACAGGGATGACTCCCAACTAAGAATCCAAGCAGTGGTGGAGAAAATGCCATTGATGCCCTTCCCCTATAATGAGATTGTTGTCTACCTTGGTTACCATTCCTAGAGCCTTCATCCAGTAGCTGTTCGCAGCAGAAAAAGGCACCCACAGCTAAGCATTGAGTCATACTACTGGAATTCAGTTGTGGAGAGGGAGGAGGGATGAGGAAAGGAGCCAAGTCTGGGCTGGAGAGACCACAGAAACAGGGGGCCTGACCTAGTGAGAGCATGGAGACCCTAGTCATAAAGCTGGGGAAACAGCATTGGACTGAACCAAGCCCTCTGAATGTGGGTGCCAGCTAGGAGGCCAGGGCAGTCTATGGGACCTCTAACAGTGGAGCCAGTCTTCAACCTTAGAGCATAAATGGACTTTGGGAGACCATTCCCTGTGGAGGGATATTATTGCAGCCCAGATACAGCAAGGAGAGCCTGGGCTCTCCCCCAAACGATATGACAGACTTTGAAGGTTCCTGGTGGAGGGCCTCACTGTGCCTGGGGAGAAGTTGGGGGATGGTTTGGGGGGGGTTGTGGGGAACATGGGAGAATGGGAAGGCAAGGGAATGGGGGGATGGATATGTAAATATGAGTGGTAATTAAAGAATTAAAAAAAAAAACTAAAAAAGCCAAGCAGTAGTAGCACATGCCTTTAATCCCAGCACTCAGGAGACAGAGGCAGGTGGATCTCTGTGAGTTCAAGGCCAGCCGGGTCTACAAAGCTACACAGAGAAACCCTGTCTTGAGAAACAAACAAACAAAAAGGTGGGGGGGGGACACTGAAGAGATATCTCAGTGAAGTGCTTGAACACAACCATGATGTCCTGAGGTCAATCCCACCTTGTATGTGTGTGTATGCGTACACATATGTATACATATATAAAGACAGGTGTGGTGGGACATGCTTTTAACTGTAGCACCACTGGGGTTGTCTAGGCCAGTCAGGTCTACTCTCATCGAACTACAGCCCTGTATCAAGGTGATCGGTGCTGGAGGAACAATACTTAAAGTTGTCCTCTGGCTTAAACACACACACACACACACACACACACACACACACACTATAAAAGTGAATTTCCACAACACAGGACACTAGAAAAACCAAGGTTTTTATTTAAAAAAAAAAAACAAAAACATTTTTCAGTACCTGGGATTTAACCCCCCCCCCATTTTTTTTTTAATTTCAAAGGTTAATGCCACGGTGAACAACCACTCTTGTTGAACTGACCCCTCAGGGAATCAGAGGACCGTTAGCCAATGCAATTGGGAATGTACAAATACTCATAGACTATGAATGATCACAGTAGACACGCAGTTCCTCCAGAGGAGCTGGACAAAGAGAAGAAGCAGAGAGAGGACCCTCCAGAGGAATGGACACACATGTATCACTCAAGGCCCTGGCCCGGGGTATACCTCCAAGGCCACCTACCTACAGCCTGCTGCCCTTTCTGAGCCCTGGGCTGGCTGGAGACCACGCTTTCCACAGCATGTTGGCACAGCCACTTGTGACTTGGCACCTCTCGTGAACCCTGGCTCAACCTAGCAAGGCTCAGAGAATGGATTTGTTCTCCCACCTTCTGGCAGAGACCAGGGAGGGAAAGTCCTGGGGCAGTGAGGATTGTTTCCATGAAAATTCAATGGAAAAGAGTGATAGGGAGTGGTTAAAACAAAGGGACGGGCATTAAAAGGTGGGCATTTGATGGTGTGGTCCTGGGAGGAGAAATGGACCTGGGCTTTCACCTGAGATACAGAGATCTGGTACAAACAGCATACAAGACTGGGCTCTATGTTCAATCCTAAAAAACTAGAATAGGGAGATGATGAAGGGACCTCTAGTCTGAGCTCAGGGAGTTGTCAGCTATTGTCCTTTCTCCAGTCCTGCTTGGATTTGTCCTAAATGAGACAATCACATCTGCACTAACCCCCCCCCCCGTTTCTTCCCCCAGTTAACCTCTCAGCATCAGAGGGAGGAAACAGTGGCTATTCCTAATGCCGCCCCAACCACCACCTGTACCTTTCCTTGAAATCTCTGGCTTCCTTCCTAAGGCCCTTCTAGAACCTTCAAAGGCACGGTCTTAGCAGGGGTGAGTCCTGAGGAGATGAACCAGAGTCCTTTTTAGGAGGAAAGCAGACAGGTGCAGATGCTTTACAGCAAAAACCATCAGTATGCACCTGCCTCATTACCTCCCATCCTCTCCCCAAGGGGTCAAACAGATAACTTTATGTGGTCACCTCACTGAACCTGTCCCACCTGGATGCCTCTACCTTATTTAGATTACTGGATCCTACAGACTGGCTTCTAACATACGGATTGCAGGTGACATGAGTGAGCTCTGCCAAGAAGTGGCCTAACACTGTCAGATCCCACTGTCCAGCCAAGTGCACCCTCACAAGTGCAGTTGGCCATGCAGGAAGTACACCAGCAGCTGGACCTCATATCAAATTCCCCACCTTCCTGTTGCTTATGGACAGGACTTTGGAAATGTCTGTGGACCCCTGGGAATAGACCTGGTACCAAATACCAAAACCCCTGTTCCCGTTCCACCTGTCGGACAAAAGAGGCGGCTGCTGCAGAATGGGGATTCTGGGACCTCCACTCTCAGCCCCACCCCCTTCCTCTCCAAATTCAGGGGCAGCCCAGAGCCCCAGCTCAGCTCAGAGCACTAAGTTTGGTCTCTTGCTAATCCCCTGCCATGAGCTCTGTTCTCTACATCCAGCATTCTCATATGCCCTGAGGTGCTTGGCTCCCTGCAGAGAAGTCCTGAGGGCTCCAGAACAAAGATTCTGAGAGGCCTAAGTGAGATCACAGAGTGTGGGGAGGCAGCACAGCTCACAGCTCACAGAGGCTGTGCCTCTGTTATGTCCGCATCCCCCACCTCCCCCAACACACACTAGAGTATGTCATATGACAGCAAGCAGCAATCCAGGTATCAAAGCATGCCCTTTGTCCCTGGAGGAGGCCCCCAGGGCTCTGTCAGTGTGCCAGAATCACTGCTTACAAAAGCCAAGTTAATATGTTTTCTATCATTTAAGTGGTTGCTGAAGCTTAGTGTACAGAACTCCTCATCTGATTAAAAAAACAAAAGATCTAACGTTTTGTTTGAGTCCAAAAATGTAGGAGTCAGTTAATCTGTAAACAGGTACTTCAGATCACTCATTGAGGGAAGAAGTGTTGGGGGAGGGGGCTGGAGGAAGGATCTAGATTATTTTCCTTCATTCTCATTCTCAGCACAACTGCAGTATAAACCTCAGGAATCGTTGGTAGAGACAGCACCCAGAGCATCCTTGGATAAGGTGTGGGGATGAAGGCCAAGTAACTGTTACCTGCATGCAAGAGAGAGGTTCAGATCAGAGGAAAGGCCTGGAGACCCTACTCCCCTTGAGAGTGGGCCAGAGTGAGATCTGGTACTTTGCACACCTACCCAACCCTGCTTAGGACCATCCAGCCAGTTCAAAACAGAGCCAAGTTCAATCAGGATTGTAGCAGCCTGGCCCAGACCTACCCTTCAATCCCAAAGGCAATAGGAAGAGAAAGGGTCTCACCTGTCCCCTGGGAGTGGACCACCCCAGTTCAAGGAACATAATTGCTGTTCCAGTCGGGAGATGCGGAATGCCAGATAGGATGAGGACACGACTAAGAAGCAGATCCTGGAGAAACAGGGGCAATGAGGGGTTAACTCTGTTTCTTGATTTTCTAGTTTTGGTGTGTGTGCGCGTGTGCGTGAGCGTGTGTGTGTTCATGCATGCACACCCTGCCCAAAGAAGCCAGAAGAGGGCATCAGATCATCTAGAACTGGAGTTACAGATGGTTGTGGACTGTCTGACACGGGTGCTAAGAAACAGAATTCCTGTACAAGAAAGGCAAGCAGGTTTAGCTGCTGAGCCGTCTCTCCAACCCCAGTTTTGTTTTGTTGAGACAGGGCTACATTACATGCAGCACAGGCTGACCTCAAAAGTGATATGTAGACAAGGATGGCCTTGAAATCTTGAGCCTTCTGTTTCATCTCCCAATTGCTATGATTATAGGCACATGCTGTCATGCTTCAGTTATACAGTGCTGGGGATCAAACCCAGGGTTTTGTGCATTCTAGGCCAGCATTCTACAACTGAGTTACATCTCCATATGCTTTTTACTTTAGCTTAGTTTTGTTTTTGAGACAGTCTGAATACATAGCCCAAGCTGGCCTGGAACTTACTATGTAGTCCAGACTGGCCTCAAATCCATGATCTTCCTTGCCTCATCCTCTAAATTACAGCATGGGATCACAGGCATGTGCATCAAGTACCAGGCTAGGAGTTGAGCCTTTCTCCTGAAGAAAGGGCATTTGGTGGAGGTTTACAAGAAATAGCATGAGAACTACCCTAATTCCCCAAATTGGAGGGTTTGAAGAGCCCTTGGCTCCTCTTCATCAAACAGACCCTGGCATCATTTTTCTTAGAGGCCACAGGGATGGCCTGAGACTTGTCATCATGGTAATGTTCTTACAGTTAGTAGAAATTCTACCTTCAGCCAAGCCATGAAGGAAGCCAGACAACCAGAACTAGTATCCTACTCTTCCTCTTCCTAACCACCTTGGTTTTTTCTACACCTCCTCCAGTGGCTATTAAGGTGATATCAATCTCTAAGGTAGCAGGCCCATTCCCCTAGAAAGGCTGAGGTTGGAAATCAAACCTAGATGGCAGAGACAGAGGATGTGGAAGACGAAGACTTAATAGTGGGGGTGTGTGGTTCCCCTCTGGACAGGAAAGCTGACTTGACTGATTAACACCTGTGGAAGCTTCTGAGCTCAACATACTAAACCCACTGGTATCTACCACTTGCAGATTTCAGGGGAACTGATCTGCAGATGGACTCTTCCATCCCAAATTCCCCCCTTTTCTGCCCTATTCAAGACCTCATGCCACACAGACACAGTCTCACTTCCACAGAGAAATGGTGGCCCTTCAGCTGCTCTGATTAAAGAACAATCCTGTTTCTGGAGGTGCCAATCCCCTACCCTGAACTTCCATGTTACCTCCACAAATCCCATCTAACATTTGATGCCAAAACTGGGAAGATGTTTTATGGTCCCACATTCCAGCTCCCACCCTCTGAGTGACCTTTCCCATCTCCCCTTACCCATCTTGGTCTTTTTTCAGAGACCCATACCATGGAGCACGTGGCCACTTGCCAAGCTTCCTAGGGCTTAACAGCCACCAGACTCAATTCAAAACCTCTGGGTTTTTAGTCTGCCAAGTAAATCAGGTGGGTCTTTGCCCTCATCTGCCTTCCTTTGTCTCCCCTAACCCCTGTTACTATCTTCCAATCTCCAGAGCAGAGGCCCTTTGCCCTTTGTCTACTGGACTGCATACACCATAACATCACTGGAAGGTAAGGCCTAGCTAATGTCTGGAGATGCCCCAGATCCAGGCCCTCTGCAGAACTCTGGGAATTCCTTGGCTTTTGCCACCTGATTTCCACAAGCAGGGATGCCCTCTTCTGCAAATGAGGCTCATCCCTTCAGCCACACTCTGACCCTAGGTGATGACCTGGGGAATGACAATAGCCTCTCTCTCCCCAAGCTGGTTCAAATGAGAGACCCTGCTTTGATATATAAGTTGGCAAGCAATCAGGAAAGAAACTTACAATGTTAACCTTTGGCCTTCATATGCGCAGATGAAGACTCCATGCATGTGCACAGATACATGCACTCACATACATTTGAACACGCATACGTATATACACATGGTAAAAGAAAAAAAAGAAGAGAGGGAAACAGATAAGCAGGGGGTCCTGAAAATTGTCCTAATGCTAGGCAGTGGAGAAAATATGTGTTTCCCTGGCTAGTACTTCTCTCAGTTATTTGATGGCTCCCCAAGTCTGGGCAGCAAGTTTATCCTGCCCCTTGCCATAGCACTGCCTGAAGTCTAAATACAGAGACTCAGAAAGAAAGCCGGGAGGATGAGTCATGAGGACTTCAGAAGCCACTCAAGAACTTGGAGTTGATTTGGAACATCCCCTTGGATCTAGGCAATAACCAGTCAATCCTTAATACACCTGTTTCAAACACCTCATCACCATGGCCACCACCACTCTGGGTTACAGTCCTCCCTCAGTATAGACACCTACATCACAAAGATGACTTTGAGGAGCCGGGAATCCCACAGCCTCAATTCCTGGTCCATCATGGGCTCTTCCTCCAACACATCTGCGTCACAGGCGGTCTCTGCAATGGGAGAGCAGCTAGGCATCTTCCTGGGGCACGTGCGGTCCCAGCCAGAGTGGGGCAGCTCCCCCTCCCTTCATGTGCTGAAGCTGCTTGGGCTCTTGGATTTTCCATATGGGTTTGGAGAAAGAAAGAAACAGCTCTCAGAAGCCTGGCTGGCCATGCTGGATTCTTTGCATAGAATAAGAGAAAAGGCTAAGACTCTGCAAGCAGTTGCCACAGACAAGATCCAGAACTCACCAGACCCTGAAGGTTTCCTGGAGGGAAAGCAGCTATCTGTGGAATCTGTGGGTATCCGAGAGACACAAGAGATGTTGTCTGGGAGTGACAGTGATGTGGAGGCTGGGCACACTTTTCTCCACTTCATCTCAGGAATAAGGACTTCCTGTGGAGAAGACAGGAGGTGAGTGAGTATCCTTTGTCCTAAGGAGCCCACTACAGGGTTATCAAGATTTTCTCCACCAGGCGTTGGTGGCACACGCCTTTAATCCCAGCACTCGGGAGGCAGAGGCAGGTGAATCTCTGTGAGTTCGAGGCCAGCCTGGTCTCCAGAGCGAGTGCCAGGATAGGCTCCAAAACTACACAGAGAAACCCTGTCTTGAAAAAAAAAAGATTTTCTCCAGCTATTACCAATCCAGATGACTACTCAGGAGTGGAATATAATAACATATACCCTTAGACATGGAGAGATGGCTCAGAGGTTAAGAGCACCAGCTGCTCTTCCAGAGGTCCTGAGTTCAATTTCCAGCAACCATATGGTGGCTCACAACCATCCATTATGAGATCTGGTGCCTTCTTCTGGTGTGCAGATATACATGGAAGCAAAATGTTGTATACATAATACATAAATAGAGTCTATAAAAAAAAAGATGAGTGTGGTGGCACATGCCTTTAAAAAAATAAAAAAATAAGAATAACATGTACTTCCTGGATATTCTCTGGCTATATCATTCCTCTGCCAGAAAACATCTTTTATGTATTATTAACTGTAATTATACCATTCAATACTACTATTGAAGGGACATATGGTTGAATTTTACATCATTTTAAATAATTTCATACATACATATATAATACATCATAACCATATGGTACCTTCTCTTAACATTTTCCCTCCCACCCTGGCTGATCTATTTTGTCTTGGAATCTAGTCCTTGCCTCCTTTCACACCTATTGCTTTGTTGTTGTTTTGACCCACTGAATTTAATATGAGTCACTTGTATGAGCTTGGGCAACTTACCCAGTGGCTAAAACACTGAAGCAAATGAAACCCCTTCGCCCAAAACAATATCTTTGAAGACCACAGTGAAGAAGTACAGTGGTTATGTTAGGTCAGACAACCATCGTACATGCTCAGATCTGAGTTCAAGACAGCCTGAGATGGTACAAATTATGGCTTCTTTTGATACAGATTCTAACCCTGAACAAGCCACTGACCTTGGCAGAGGTGACTTACAGTTCTTATCTATACAAAAGGGGACATTGGCTTCTGTCCCTGGCATGATAGTCTGTATACTGTATGCTTGGCTAAATGCTTCAGTTACTGGGGAGGCTCTAAACACTTTGAGGTCACCAACACTTTATCTCTGCTCTCAAAACTCAGCTGTCCCAGTTGGGTGGTGGTGGTGCATGCCTTTAATCCCAACACTTGGAAGGCAGAGGCAGGTGGATCTCTGTGAGTTCAAGACCAGCCTGGTCTATAGAGTGAGTTTCAGGACAGCCAGAGCTGTTACACAGGGAAGCCCTGTCTCGAAAAACCAAAACCAAAACCAAACCAAACAAAAAACCAGCTTTGAGGTTCTCTCTTTTTTTTTAATGTATATATTTTTTGTATGTGTATATTTTGCCTGCTTGTATTTTTGTGTGTGTGTTTGTTTTCTCTGCTTGTATGTCCTGTGCAAGAGCAGCAACCACTCTTAAACCACAGAGCCAGCGCTCCAGCCCCTGGCTTTGGAGTTCTTGTCTAAGGGTATGCCTGTGGCTTTGAATGTCCTCCTTCCTCTGAGAAAAGAAAGGATGGATGACTGGCTTTGCATCCATTTGGTCTGAGACTCAACCCAGCCAGGGTTTGGGGGATATACTTCAGCCAGTCTGCTGAGGGTCTATGTGCTCCACATGGCATGCAGTCTAGGAAACCTTTAACACAGTGTGGCCCCTGGCTCTAGAACATGTGCCCTAATTCTACATGGTAGCCCTAAAGTTTTAGAGCCCTGCTCACCCTCAGGCCCTTGCTCTCAGCGTCAGCAATCACTGGAGACTCGCACTCAGCTTCCTCGGGGAATTTCCTTACACTTAGACTCTTCTTGCTGGAAGGCTGGGGAGGAAAAGGAATAGGCAAGATCAAACACAGGGGGGCCCTCACCAACAAGCTACCTGTGTCAGGTGAAGCCCAGGTCACAGAGTTTGTGTATGGTGGGTGGTTGGAAGGTGCTTTGTACTACTATAGAGGATCAAATCCCAGGCAACTCATTTTCTATGCCCCTGCCCCCTCCCTACTTCCCCCTGCTCACCTTGGCCAGAGGGTATATAGAGAAGCAGCCATATGCTCCTGTCTATTTGTACACTAAGGAGGCATAGGTGAGGGCAAATGTATGTATGAGGACACACAAAGACTGGCCAAAAGATACACTCAGTGTACACAGTTCAAATACAGCCTCTGGTACATTGAGCCCAGAGAGTAAGTTCCCTCTCTCTGTTCCCATTCCTGGTGCTAGAGAGGCACTCTAATCTCCCCTAACTGCCTTGTCCCAAGACCTGGGTGCAGCCTCCCAGGTCAACCTGTGCCTCCAAGTTCCATACCTGTAGGTGAGTGCAGACCCTCCTCAGCATATCATATACACTGTCCCGGGAGAGCAGAGACACAAAGACATACTGGAACATGAAAAGAAACAAAAAAAAAGATAGGATGAGATGGGACTTCTTGCTGTACTAGCAGGCTGTGTCTATGGATTGGGGGCCAGTTCAGAGGTATATGGGCCATGAGAACCAACTAGGCCTTCACCTGGGAAAGGTTTTTCTAGCTCATTAGCCTGGAACATGTGCTGGGAAGCTAGAGGGTAGGGAGAAGTAAGGGCCAGGGAGTAGGCCATCACCAGGCCACAGGGTTCTAGAACTATGATGGGGAGAAGGACAGGAGAAGTTGTTGGCCCAGAGGCTCACAGACCTTCTGGCTGGTGTTTGTGGTGATGGCCAGTCCATTGGGAAGGAGCCGTGCCATCTTGTGTTTTTTGATCAACTGTACAGACACCACAGGAATGACCACCTAAGAGAGAGAGAAAGAGAGATGCTTCTTAGCCACCCAAAAACAAAGGCTCTTGGTTTTCTTCACTGGAGCAAAGGATAGACATAGCTGGCACTCCACCAAGAATGCACACCCTGGTGAAGCCATGTGTGTGTGTGTGGTAGCAGGGGCATCTAGGCCTTTCACATTCTCATCTAGGGTCCCCTTCCAACTATCCTGCCTCCTTGCCCAGCCTTGATCAGACATTCGGCTTTAGATTCTCTTCTGTGCATGACCCCTGCTATCCAAGACTCGGAGCACAGTTGTTCTCTTGAATTCTCTGCTCTACTCACAGAGTCCCTGAGCCGGCCCTTGGTCACACTAGTGACTCCCCCTAAACCTGACACTGCACTTTGACCCTGAAAACATTTCTGAGATATCTGAAGTCAGTAAAATTTAGCTATCAATTGTCAGGCCAGATGTAGGGTCAAGATAGGGGCCTGTGTTTTAGAAGGAGGAGAGCTACTTCTCTGAACATGAGATGAGAGACCTTGATGCTGCTCATCCAACCAGTGAGAGGCTTCACCACATGCAGAGCACATGGATAACAGGCATAACTTAAGGCATGCCCACAAGACAGGAGACTATCCCTCCCCTGGTTCCTAGGCAGGAGCCTTACTTGGTCATAGCAACCCTCACCATTCATTATTACCTTGATGTCCTTGCCAAAGAGGCTGGCATGGAAGCAGAGCCAGTTGGGAGAGATATAGAGCCGGCCATGCAGAAGAAGGTCTCTTTGGAGGGCACAGGAACACACTGAGAAGTCATGGGAGAAAAGACAGCCATGAGTAAGGTTAACCCCAGAGAAGCCCCTCTTACCTTTTCACCTGCCCTCAAGACTCTCCTGCCCCCATCCCCAATCTACTCCGCAAGCACTCAAAGGGTCTTTCTGAGAATCCTGAGTGTCCCACCCCACCCACCAAACTGCTAGATGTTTCCTCTTTCTCTATTACCAGCAAAGTCTGAGCAACTTCCTGTCCAAGTCTCTAGCCCTGGATTTCGGTTACCTCAGGAAGAGGCTTTACCCTGCCTTGAGAAGAGGGTCTAGCTTGTGCAAATGTCCCTATGTGCTTGATGAGAGACCTGAGCAAGGGACAGCACCTCCCTGGTGAGAGCAGAACAGAAACACCTGGTATTCTTACCTTTCCTCCAGCAAACCTGCATAACTTAACTCCACATCCCAAACCACCCCGTCTCTTCATGCTTTTAAAGAAAAGGAGCAACTTCATCTAAATTGTTCTCACATGTAAATTTAGCATAAAGGCTCCCAAGTAGAAGGCCTGGGTGCCCACCAGCTGCGTGCTGGAAACAGCTCACCTTTGAGAACCATCTCCTCCAAGGGGATGTCTTTAAACAGCTTGTGGTACTGCTGGTTGTATTTGCTCAGCAGTGTCTGCAAACATAAGACCTGGCTCTGAGAGGCTAGTGATCAGACCACCACAGGGCCCCCTGCTCCAGCCACCAGGAGATAATGCCATAGAGACCCCCCTGGTAAACAGCAAGGGTATGAAGGGCTGAGTTCCAAGCCTAGCTCATCTCCTGGTATTGTTGAGTTTTTCCAGAGAGCCAGTGACTAGAGGGACACCCATTCCCACCAAGGCAAGGGCACTCACTGAGGTCTCCTGGGTTCCTACTAACAGGCCTGGTGGCCAAGAGGCCAATAGTGAATTTGGGCATCCCAGGACACTTCTCTCAGTGGGCAGACCAAGGTAGCCTCCACATACTTACCCCTTCCCGGCCATACTTTTTTATCTCTTCACTCTTCGAGCCTTCTGACCAGTGTAGACTACTGCAAAGGAGACATTCCATTCCAGGGACAAGGAACCCTTGAGTCCTGCCCATGTGTCCTCAGTGCCAATTCTACCCTGGCTTTGTGCCGGAAGATTGGAGCAGAGATTGGAGACTAAGGCCCTTCTCTAAGAAACACAGTAATATGATAAGAACTGCAAGTGTACCGCTCATCTCTGGGGAAGGGCACTCATGATTCCTCCTTCCCAAACAGATTTGAGTATCACACCCACAGAGGTATGCTTGGCCTGAGCTTCAGTCTCCCACAATGCTCAGCAGCTGCTCAGCCCTGAACAACAAAGACACTCTGATTTCTCTAGCCAAGAAGTAGGCAGAGGCCCAAGAAATGTGGGTCCAGGGACCACAGTCTAGAGGTATACAAGACAGAAGCATTAGACTCACAGCTCCAGGGCCATGATACAGACAGATCTGCTCTCCTTGCAGCCTCCTTGGGCAGCCTGCCGTTCCTCATTGAGGCACTCAGAACACTCAAATGACTGAGATTACTGATCAGGAAAGAACGTGCTGAAATACAAAGCTTTGCTCTGGCCAGGTTGGCCCAAGGACAGGTGAGCAGGGAGGAGACTGGTAACTTGAGAAGCCTGGCCCCTGCTAGGTCCCAATGCACTAGGACAGGCTGGAAGGGTGGGAAGAAGAGGCCATACTAAGGTGTCCTGCCTGACTCAGACCTAAAGTGCTCCCACCTCTCATATTTGTACATGTGCAAGTATGTAAGTGTATATGTGTGTGTGTGTGTGTGTGTGTGTGTGTGTGTGTGTGTGTGTATGTGTCTGTGTGTGTGTGTAGACCAGAGGACCACCTTGAGAGTCATCCTCAGGAATGCCATCCACTTCTTTTGAGGCAGGGTCTCTCACCAGTTAGGCTACCCTCACAGGTGCTGTCTCTACCTCCCCAGCACCAGAATTACAAACACACACTGCCACAATCAGCCTTTTTCTTTTCACGTGGGTGCTGGGGATTGAACTCAGGTCTTCACCCTTGGAAAAACAAGTGCTGTACTGACAGAGGCATCTTTCCAGTCCTTTAAGGTCCCCTCACTAGCAGGTCACCTCCTGACAATTCCGTCCTAGTCTGGACTTATCCCTGATTGGAAAAGGCCTTACCTGTCGTCTGGGGCCTTCTGGACCTTTTCTGGTTTCTCCGTGCAGGGCACGGAGCTCTTCAGAGGCGCTGTCTTTCCATGCATTTGTTGGTTGCTGGAGGGAAATGTGTTCGTGTTAGAAAGGGGAGCTGAGAGCCGGGCGTTGGTGGTGCACACCTTTAATCCCAGCACTCGGGAGGCAGAGGCAGGCGGATCTCTGTGAGTTCAAGGCCAGCCTGGTCTCCAGAGCGAGTGCCAGGAGAGGCTCCAAAGCTACACAGAGAAACCCTGTCTCAAAAAACCAAGAAAAGAAAAAAAGAAAGAAAGAAAAAAGAAAGGGGAGTTGGGGGCATCTTTTCCTATTATCCTCACTGTGTCCATCCAGGGCAGCTGTTCTGTCCCCTATCCTTGCTTGATGTATCTGGTAAAGTTTAAGATGTCATAATTTGGAGCCACTTTCAAATGCTGTGCCCATTAACCCAATAACCACCCTTCTGAGAGGGAACTCATTTCCCCATATCCAAGCACTATTTTGGATATTAGCCTTTTCTCACCTCTGCCAATTTGATAGGTCAATATATGTCATCTTCATTTGCATTTTGTCTACTGGTAGGTGTCTTCCACAGTGTCTTGCCTGGAAACCTAAAGATCAGTTAATGTCTGCCCCCCAAAAAAGATCAGTCTGTCCACATCGTTTTAACTTCCAGGCAACTGCTAGCTAGTTCAGGAAGAGTTGAGTCTCCAGCCCCGCCCTGGAGGACGGACACAGGCATGTTCATGTTGAAAGCAGAAGTTTCTAAGGTGCCCCAGCAGCTACTGTAAACTATCAGGTTCTGGGAAAGGCCACAGTGCACAGGATCCTTTATCAAATGTTGTTAGAGATGTGGAAGGTAGATTCCAGTTGGCCAACAAGTGAGTGCAGCTGAGAGGGGTGGGACTGCCCCAGACTAGGAAGTAGAGGCCTCAGTCACCTTCAGACAGTTGAAGTACCTCAGCCATGACAGCCAAACTATTTCAAAAGTGTCCCAGGAGGAAAGAGATGTTCTTCCCCTGGGCAGGTGGGGCTTCCCTCTGAGGTCCCACCTCCACTCACCAATTCCACAGACTAGGACCCTCATTCCTGCTTTTCTAGGCATCAGTAAAGCCTGAGATGTCAGCATAGCCCCAAGTGAGTAAGCTCAAGGGTTCTCAAAGGAAGAGGGGTGGCCAAGAAGCAGGGTCAAGACAGGGCAGTTCGAAGTCTAGAATACGGAACAAGGTCCTGTGTGCTGGTCTCTCTGTATGTAAACAACTGGAATAAATAGCTGGAACTCGAAGCAGAGAATCCCAAATGCTCAGTAACTCTGTTCTGTGACTAGGCCAAGGCAAAGCTCTCTTTTTCAGGCTGGGGAGAGAGCTCAGTCTGCAAAGTGCTCCCTTGCAGACATAAAAACCCAAATTCAATCCTCAGAACCCATGTAAAAATACCAGGCATGGTAACACACACACTGTAATTCCAGTACTGGGGAGACAGAGACAGGCAGTAGGCTCAATGGGCAGCCAGCGGAATCTACTAAGAAAGCTTCAGGGCAAAAAAGGAAAACAATAACAACAAAAAACCAAGGAGGCCAGTTCCAGAGGAACACCGCCCAAGGTTGCTCTTTGGCCTCCACATGTGTGTGCACACATGGGCATGTACAACTAAAACACCCATGTGTGCCCTCACACAAACAAACAAACAAATAAACAAACACTTTGTCTTCTTTAAGATAGAATTACAGACTTGGCCCAAGGTCTTCCAGGACCCTCAGAGTTTATCCAGTCTGACACCCTCCAACCACAATATCATACAGATCAGAGAAAGTTAACTCTGACAAGAGACAGGCCCTGACCAGTATCACATTGTAAAGATCCAGGCACCCTCATTGGCCTAGTCACATGTGACTTGGTGACCTCTCCTCAACCTCACATAGGGTTTGATACATATGTCACCATGCACTGCATGCCATTTTAGTCAATGATGGGTAACTCATCTCTGACATAGTTCCCTAAGATGACACCACCCAACGATGTCATAGCTGTCTTGGTTCCTATAAGCACACTTCACCATGTTTGCACAACAGCAAAATCTACTCATGACACATTTCTCAGAATGTTTCTTTGTGACTAAATGACACATGACTGTATTTACTGAATAAAGTGACAGACTATTCTAGTGATTTGACCTTCTGGCTCCTAAGGTTAATTTCTGGATATGTTTGGTTTTATCACTTCACATTTCTCAGAGGGGTTTTCTCTTAACTTTTTATGTTTGCTGTAGGGAATATGGTACGTATAAAGCATTTATAAATGATTGAAATTATCCATTAAAAAATTCCCTAAAAGTTCCTAGGTGGTGATGGTGCACACCTTTAATGCCAGCACTCAGCGAGGCAAAGGCAGGAGGATCTCTGTGAGTTTGAAGCCAGCATGGCCTGCAGAGCAATTTCAGGACAGTCAGGGGCTACACAGAGAAACTCTGTCTTGAAAAACAAACAAAAACTGTGGATTACGTACCATAAAATCTGTTGTGTGACTTTTATTGTTTCACATAGTTTCATGAGAAATTTCCCCATGTTACCATTTATTCTTAAGATTACTTTTTATGTTTGTTTTTGAGAGTTTTTTGTTTGTTTGTTTTGGAAAAAGAATCTCATTGTGTTGCTCTGACTGTCCTGGAACTCACTCTGGAGACCAGGCTGGCCTCAAACTCATAGACGTCCACCTGCCTCTGCCTCCCAAGTGCTGGGATTCGAGGTGTGTGCCACCAACTCCGGTTTGAGATCCATTCTAAGAAGGAAAATCAGAGGCCTGAGAGTCAGCTTTTCTCCAGCTCTTTAACGCCACCTTCAAACTGTTTTCCAAATGCTACCCCAATTAAACCCCGTGACCAGCACCGTCCATTCCCCACATCCAAGCTCAATTCTGGAGATCTTCTCTTACCTTTGTTAATTATACAGCTAAAAAATGTGTCCTTTTAATTGAGAGGGGTGTTTTTGAGCAGAAGTTCAAGGCCATCCTTGATTACATAGGGAATTCAAGGCCTGGAACCAGTCTAGTAAGAAAGGTGGGCCAGGAAAATGGCTCAATGGATAAAGGCACCCACTGCCAAGCTCAACAACCCGAGTTCATACTGGACCCACATACTGGAAGGAGAGAATAGATTCTCCAAAGTTGTAGTCTAACTTTGACACATGTGTCAAGGCACACATATACCCGCAGACATGCATATACATAAATAAATATGAAAAAAATAAAGAATAAAGAAGGAAGGAAAAAAAGGGAGAAAGAGAAAGAGGGAAGGGGAAAGGAGGGATGAAGGGAGGAATGGAGGGAGCCGATGGGCTGGGCATTGTAGCACATACCTGTGATCCTAGCACTTGGAAGGCAGAAGCAAGGAATCCCAGCATGCTTGAGGCTACCCTCCCAGGTCTACCATAGCAAGTTACAGGCCAACTGGAATTACTTATCAAGACTCTGTCTCAAAAAAACAAAACAGAGCTGCTGAGATGGCTCAGCAGATTAAGGTGCTTGCCTCTAAGCCTGAGGACCTGAGTCTAATCCCTGGGAGTGAGTCATGTGGTAGAAAGAGAGAACTGATCCCACAAAATTTTCCTCTGACCTCCACACGCATGCAGCAACAATGCATACCCCCTACATATGCACATGTGAGCACACACAGATCAACACATGTAACAAAAATTAAAAGGGAATAGTAGGCACTCAGGAGAGGCAGAGGCAGGTAGATCTCTGTGAGTTTGAGGACAGCCTGGTCTACAGAGCGAGTTCTGGGACAGCTAGGACTGTTACACAGAGAAACCCTGTCTCGAAAAATATCAATAAATAAACAAAATAAATAAATAAGAGAGAGAGAGGGAGAGAGAGAGAGAGTAACAACAATGCCATATGAAAACTGTAGGGCTGAGTGGTTATCTAGCACTCAGAACCTGCCAGGCCATAGGGCACCTGACAACTACATGTATTTTGACTCAGAGGGCCATAGGGAACTTTAAGAGCAAGGAGCTCAACTCTCCACCTGACTCTGCAGGCAGCTGATGTCCAGCCCCCTGCCATTAATTTTTCTTGGAAGCAGTTTCTCATAACCCAAGGGTCATAAATCATACCTACCGTCCTTAGCCCCACCCCATCAACGTGTTCAAACAGTGGAGTTAATATTAGGATCTAGGACGCTGAAATCTGTAAAAATTTTTTAGATTTATAAACTTATTTTTATTTTGTGAGTATATGTGCATGGTCTGTGTGCTCATGCAGAGCCCTTAGAAGCCAGAGACATTGATCCCCTGGATCTGGAGTTATAGGTAGATGTGAGCTGCCTGTTTGTGGGTTCTGGGTACCAAACCTAGGTCCTCTGCAAGAGCAGCACATGGTCCTAACCACTGAGCCATCTCTCTGGCCCAAAATCTGTATAAACCACAATAACTAAGGCCATGAAAGAGATGGAACAGGGAAATGGGAACATCTTTCAACAGTAAAGGGAGGATCAAAGATTGGAAAACTCAAGGAAGACCCTCTCCTGAGCTGAGCTGGGTCTAAAGGCAGGTAAGCCTAGGAGAGGCTACATCAAGGATCTGGAGCCCCACTGACCAGTGCAAAACTCCTGCCTACTCCTTCTTCCTTCCTTCCTTTCTTCCTTCCTTCCTTCCTTCCTTCCTTCTTTCCAGGAACCTTACTAAAGTTATCATTGCTTCTGGGCTGGGGTCTGCCCTAGGGTAACAGGGTGAGCTGGACGGCAGCAAAGGGAGATGTCAAGAAAGGGTGGTATAGGGGGCTGGAGAGATGGCTCAGAGGTTAAGAGCACTGACTGTTCTTCCAGAGGTCCTGAGTTCAATTCCCAGCAACCACATGGTGGCTCACAACCATCCGTTATGAGATCTGGTGCCCTCTGCTGGTGTGCGCAGATACATGGAAGCGGAATGTTGTATACATAATAAATAAAAATAAAATCTTTAAAAAAAAAAAAAAAAAGAAAGGGTGGTATATAAGAGGAGAGAGAGGCAAGTGAGTCGGAACCAGGGATGCAGGTCTAGCTGCTTCCCACAGACATCACAAATAGCCCCATGAGTTAATACTGTCTCCAGATAGATAATCCCAAATCTCTAACTGGGCAACTCATTGCCTCCCCAGCCTCAGCTACATCATTTGGAGGAGTCTGTCAGAGTGAAATCAGAACCACCTGTTCCCCATCCTGACTGCTTCTAAGAACCCAGCATCCATGAAAGGCTCCACCCTCCACAAGGTTAACCCCAGCCAGAATCCTCAAGTCATTCATTCCCCTTCCATTCCACACAGTCCTAGGAGCCTGACCTAACCCTCTTGATCCAAATATCTGTTTCTCCACTGTCACTACAGCACACCAGCCCAGCCCACTATTGTCTTTTTTTTTTTTTTTTTCTTTCTTGGATTCTGGCAACCTCTCCCTAGCCACACCTGGCCCAGCCTCCCCCTCACACACTTGTCTTTCTCCTACATTCACAGTCATCCCCAGCCCCAGCCATGCCTGCCAATCTCCCTGCTTCTTTTTTGTTCAGTTGGTTTTTTTTGTTTTTGTTTTTTTGTTTTGGCAGGGTCTCACTATGAGCCCTGGCTGGCCTGGGACTCATGCACTATGGAGACCAAGAGATAGAAACCCACCTGCTTCTATCTCCCCAGTGCTGGAATTAAGGTTCACCACCTGTCCAGCCCTGCTCCTCTTTCTGCCCTCGCAACTTGTTACTCTACCCCATGCAGCTCAGCCGAGTGCCCCACCTTCTTCACCACAGCAGACTCTGCTTATCTACCCAGGGCAATCTGAGTCTTCTTTGAAGCATCAGTTCAAATCTACCCCCACTCTCCCCTGTGTAGAAGTTTCCCATTTCCCTCATTGGCTCCCTCCCCTATATTCCTCACCCCTTCCTTTGCTGTTCTGTTTACACATCTTTCTTCCTCAGCTGACTCTGAGCTCCAACCCAGGTATGTCTGCATCCCCAGCATGCATCAGCACTCAGTGTTTGCTGAAGGGAGGTAATGGGGAGGGAAAGAGACAGACAGAGGGAGAATATGAATGTTTCTTGACACCAAAGAGAAAGAGGAGAGAGGAAAAGCAGTAAGAATAAGTCAGAAAATGAGTGATGCCTCATGGGCAAGGAAGAAAAAAGAGATGGACAGAAGCTGACAAGGTCACCATGGCTGGATCCTTCCTTCCAGGAGCCCTGACCTGAGGGGGAGGCAGATAGTCTTGGCCTAGCACCAGGAGTTACTCAACCTACACTGCTTGACTGATCAAGAGGGGCACAGAAGGCACACAGAAGCATAAAGGGAACTTGGGAAGTGGAGCCATCAGGATCAGGTGTCAAGGTCATCCTTGGCTATATACAAGTTTCAGGCCAGCCAGGACTTAAGGAAAAAGGAGAGGAGAGGGAGGGGAGAGAGAAAGGAGACAGACAAGCAGGAAGAGGAGGGGAGTAGGAGGAGAAGCGGAAGAGAAGGACCATCACAAGACAGCATGGGATATCTATTGGGGTGACGGCACAGGCAAACCCTGCAGCCTCCATGTCCTAGGCTGCACTCCTCCTTGTGTTCTGTGCCCAGGTGATGCTCCCCTGGTTTAGCAACCCCTTCCCTGCCCTAGTCCTTCCTAACCTCAGCACAGACCTCCCTCCAGGCCTCATCTGCACCTCTGGCAATAGCAATGCCGAAGATGAAAGCTCAGCCAGGCCCTGCTCCCCTGAACCAGAAGGGCCCACAAGGTCACAGGTGGGGCCTTCCCCACAGCTCCTAGTGGAGGAAGGGACCACACTCTCCCAAGATGACTTCTTGTGGACTT